AGTAAAGTGTATCTTTTTTTATGAAAAGGAAAATTTTCCGCACGAGCCGAAGGCAAGTGAGCAAATCCGCCGAGTAAAAAAAAGCCACTTTACTCACGAGTCGCATACAAAATTTTTTTCGCGTTCGTAACAAAACTCAACAGCCACCAACTTCAAAAACTTTTTATTTTGGAACATAGATATTAACTGTAGCCGTATTTGCCGCCTTGACAATTTTTTCGGGGGTGCACGAGAAAGCTTCATCGCTGTCCGATTCCATTGTCCGAGCACACAAATTACCATAACACACCGAGAAAATTAATACAAACCACTTGTGTTGATGAATTATCATAGCAACGGCAGGCTTCTATGGTTTACTTGAAATGACACGTTACGACACTTTTTTTCACTCAAATGCGTGAAAAAATGACACGCTATGACACTTTTTTCCACGCTTCTAGTGCGATTAAATAAACGTATGCTTTATAAACAAAAATTAATAAAAAATGTTACACTTTTTTTAACGAACGTTAAAAAATAGTTATTTATGTAACTAGTGAGTAAAGTGTATGACGAAACAAATCTTATATGCGGATGACATTACTCTCAATTCGACTGACATCATATAGAGAGCGGATTTCTAGGTTTAATGCTTTTTGTGAAAAATGTAAGCACTTTAAAACTGTTTTATATCTGTAACTATGATACAATTTGGAGTCATTTGACACATTTTTTTTATGCTTATTTGCTTTTATTTCAATTTTATACATATTAAAACTTATATGCTTATTTAATGCTTTTTTCGACGAATATGAGTTTTAATGCATATTTTGTTCAAATGCCGGCCTTGTCGGGATGACAAATACTTGTTAGTTAGGCGTATCGTATCGTATGCATTTTACCTGGACTTGACCGTTGAAGTACACTTACTCAAGACCCTTTCTACGAATAGGTTCCGGTCGTTTGGGTAATAAAATTTTATTATAGGATTGGAAAAATACTCCATAGATTTTATGACTTTAAATCCTTACTTCCGTTGATAATGAATTAAAGCTTTTAACCAGATGTTCTTTTTCGGCATTTTGCGGCAAGACCGTTGAAGATTTTCTAGAAAAAAGGATTATTGTACCCAACTACCTACCTTAAAATTTTTCGAATGGAAACTTTTAAGTAAATGAACCGTTATTTCACAACCATCAGTCTATTGCATCTGTCGTAGTGCAGTGTTATACGTGGTTCTTCCTTGTTACATGTTGAGTTCTTTTTGGTAATATTACTAATATTTTAAAAGAATGCCGAAAGTAAAATCGACGCCGGATGAGTGGATAAGGGATTTTCCAGAATTAAAATTAGAAAACAACAAAATATTCTGCAGGGCTTGTGTGAAAACCGTAAGCCCACTAATTTTTTTTTAGCTGTTTTCCTTTGTTAATCCTGTATATGTACGTTGTTTTAGATTCAAAGTGATAAAAAATATAACGTGACGCATGTCAGAACGACTCTTCATGTAGAAAGGAAGAAAATGTTTGAAGTTTCTAAAATTAAACAGCAGACCATACATGAATCTGTTGCATCTACTTCCACAAAAGATGAGCAATTTCAGTTTAATTTCGATTTATGTAAAATGATGATCCAGTCCAATATACCTTTAAAAAAATTGGAGAAAGGCCCTCTTCAAGAATTCCTTGAAAAACACTGCAATCGACATATCCCGGTTGAAAGTACTCTCCGAACAAATTATGTAGGCCCAGTGTTTCAGCAAGTTTACAACGAAATTAAACATCGCATTGGAGATAATTATTTATGGTTCGCTATCGATGAAACAACCGATAGTTGTGGAAGATACCTGGCAAGTTTAATTGTTGGAATCTTAAATGAAAATTTCCCTAGTCGAGAGTATGTAGTAAGTTTGAAAATGTTAGATAAAACAAATGGCAATACAATTACCAGATTTGTAAATGACAGTCTTACGTCACTATTTTTGCCAAACGCCGTACCGGCGAATAAAATTTTATTGATGATCTCGGATGCAGCTCGTTATATGTTGAAAGCAGGGAACAATCTAAAAATATTGTACCCCAATTTAATTCACTCTACTTGCATTGCCCACGGTTTAAACAAAGTGGCTGAAGGAATACGTTTGCAGTTTCCTACTGTTAATAAATTAGTGGCAAATGGTAAAAAGATTTTTGTTAAAGCACCACTAAGATTGCATCATTTTAAGGAAAAATTTCCAAACATACCATTGCCCCCAGAGCCGATTATAACGAGGTGGGGAACATGGTTACAGGCCACATTTTATTATGACAAATATATCAAAGAATTTGAGGAGGTAGTTACGGAGTTTAACGAAGATTCTTCTCAATCGATTAAAGATTGCATAAATATTTTGGAAAACAAAGATTTGCGACAAGATCTAGCTTTCCTAAGAAGCAATTATCAATTCGTATGTGAGGTAATAGAAAAGTTAGAAAAACCCAACATGTTGTTGGTAGATGCCATAAACTTAGTGAAAGAATTTAAACAACAAGCAAACGCAGTAAGGGGTGATATTGGTACTAGAGTATCCCAAAAACTTGACGAAGTGTTAAATAAAAATGCAGGTTTCGGTGTTCTTTCCGACGTTGCTCGTGTTTTGCAAGGCCAGAAGGTGGAAAATTTGGAGTTAGATTCAACATTAGTTGCAAAATTCAAATTTGCGCCAACAACGAGTGTGGATGTTGAACGCACATTCTGCAATTTTAAACACACTTTAAATGATCGGCGAGAAAATTTTACAGTGGACAACTTGGAACATATTACAATCATAAATTGTTTTAAAGAAAACTGAAATACGTGTGTAAAACATAAAGTCTAAGTGTTCTTTGATTCGTAATATGATTATGTTTTTAATGCTTTTTTGCTTAAAATAAAACTTTTCTAATGAAAGTGTTATGCTTATTTAATGCTTTTTTGCTTAAAATAAAACTTTTTTATTGAAAATGTTGTGCTTATTTAAGCGCTTATTCTTAATTTTTTTGTGCTTATAAATCCGCTCTCTATAAATAAATTTAGTTCGGCTTTTTTTTATTTTTGGAGCATATGCAACTGCATATCTCTGCATATATTAAGAAAGTTACTGCATATTTGCATAAATTTGGTGCATATCATATGATCATATTTCTCAAAATTTTGCTGCATATTTTCCGCTCTCTGGTTATCACTACTAGAAATAAAAAACCGGTTTTTAAATTCACAACACGTTGGCTGTACCCTATGTATCTTAGCTGTACCATTTTCCAATTCCGAATCACTAAAAACGCGGTTTTCACTATCTCATCAATAGAGCCAGGCGATCGAAATTTAAACGCTGCGAATTGTCCTCTACTCCGGTAGACCAGTGGCTTGCAGCCGACGTTACGTGTCGCGAAGAAAATTACGCGAAAAATCATGTTAACGGCATGTCAGTTGATGATTTTAAAATCCATATTCACGAAATAAGAGTAATAATAATTCTAATAATGTTCAGGTGCCCGTCTCGTTGACAATATAGCTATTAAGATAACTAGGGCCCGGTTGTATAAAGCCTTTGTTAACTTTAACAAATTGTTAAACCAATGATAAATTCGTTTGCTAATGTCAAGTGTTGTATAAAGCAGTTGACAATCAGTTAACAGCGTGTTAACTAACAATATGTCAAACCTGTGTTAACTCAGGATTTGGGTTGTATAAAGCTACCGTCAAAGTTAACATCATGTCAAACCTTAGTTAACTTTCTGTCAGCTAATTAGTCATCCGTCATCAATTAAGTTGCGATTTTGTGTTTGCTTGAAGTTTTAAGGACAAGGTTTCTGATAGGTTTTGAGGTAAAATAAACGTAATTCAGTAGTAATATGTTGTATTTAGCATAATTGTTCATGCAAATCAATAGAAGATGTCGACATCTACTTTGTCTTCATTGAGTGACGAAAGCGATGAAGAAGGGAGACTGCAAGCAGCAAGAATACGCCGTCCAAGACGCTTTTTCGTTCGTAAGGATCCTTTTGAACTATATGATGATATGGATTTCAAGGAAAGGTATAGGATCAACAAAAACACATTCAACGAGTTGCTCAATCTGATTGGTCATCACCTGGAACCTGCAACAAAAAGAAATCACTCTATTTCTGCAAAATTGCAACTCCTTGTTACCTTACGATTTCTGGCAAATGCATCATTTCAACAAGTGCTCGGGGACAATATTGGCATTCATAAATCTTCAACCAGTAGAATCATTACCAGACTAAGTAATGTTATAGCAGCTTTAAAACCTCGTTACATTAAGATGCCAGTAACTGGCCAAGAAAGACGTTCAGTTAAGTCTGGATTTCACAACATTCGTGGGTTTCCGAAAGTAATAGGTGCTCTCGATTGCACTCACGTCAAAATACTCTCTCCAGGAGGTGAGCAAGCCGAACGATTTCGGAACCGCAAAGGGTACTTCTCAATCAATGTTCAGGGAGTTTGTGATTCAGAATTAAAAATCATAAACATTATTGCTCGTTGGCCTGGTTCCGTTCACGACAGCACCATTTTCAATGACTCACCCCTGTGTGCTGATTTAGCTTCGGGCGTATACGGAACAGACTTTGTATTAGGTGATAATGGCTACCCATGTTGCAGTTATTTACTGACACCACTGCTGAATCCAAGAAACCGTATGGAGAGAGCATACAATGCGGCTCACAAGGCCAGTAGAAATTGTATTGAGAGGTGTTTTGGAGTGCTGAAACGACGTTTTCCTTGTTTGTCTAGAGGATTAAATATGAAACTTCAATCAACTCTCCACATTATTGTCGCTTGTGCAGTGCTACATAACATTTGCATTCTAGAAAAGGACGCATTTTTTGAAGGTGAAGATCAAGATGTTGATGAAGATTCAGAATTGCACATTTTTAATAACGAAAACACAGCAGTTCGAGTGGCCCTAATTAATTCAGTTTTTGCAGACCTTTAAATTATTGTTTAATGTATGTTAAAATTGTGTTAAAGAAAAGCCAATATGAATGAAAAATTATTTTTATTTTGCATTTAAATTTTCCAACTCTTTACGTTTAATTTTTAAATCTAAAACATGCAGCTGCCGTTTGGATTTTAGTTCGAAGCAAGCTATTTGATATTTTTTTTTGAAGTATAATTCCTTGTAATTGACATTTTTGTTTCTCGTTGTTCTAATCCTGGTACGGCGCGATGTTGTGGCTCTTATCTCAGGCACAGGCTGAGTAACTGGTACATCTCCAGGATCCAAATCAGGAGTCGGTGCCCGAAGTTGAGTACCAGAACACCCAGGAATATCTGTAGGTACTGCAATAATAAATGCGTTGATCTTAAAGGTATTAAACACTTTGGAGACTAAAATATGCTGTTACCATCGTGAAAATAGTTCGCAGCATCATCGAAAAAATTTGGTAAAGGTTGCACTTGGTCTTCTATTATAGCTAAAATTTGAGCGCCTGTTTCATACAACTGCGGCTTATAATTGCCTCCACCGGTTCTATTAAGTTCGCGCCTGCCCTCCTCATCAACCACCTTTGCCTTTAAATATTGTTCTTTCTGTTAACAATAAGTAAATTCGTAGTATGGTCTTTTGATAATAATTTAGTTTTTACATGTTCCTCCGCGACATCTTTTCGTGTTTTCCTTTTCAAATTAGCGTATAGCAATTTCAAATGCTTTACGCTCCTGCTCACTTCAGTCTCTGCATTAAACTCATGTGTTATATTGTCCCACGCTCTGTTTTTCTTCTCATTAATAACAGATGACGTGCCTTTATTTTCAATAGTAGCTTTATACCTTAATCAGGGAAAGAGGAGTGGATATAGCAGACATGTAAAACCGAACGAGGTTATACTTACCTTTCAACTATATTCAAAAATGTAATTTTTTCCCTAGCAGAAAAATTAGGGGTTCTTTTTGTTAAATCTTGCATTTTATCTTCTCAAAACGGCAATACCACACAAAGCAAGTTACAAATTGAAGCGACATTTTGGAGGGAAACGTCAACGCGGGAACTCGTACCAACGTAAATTGCTAAACGATAAAATTTCTAGCATTCGAACGTGATCCCATGTTAACTCGTTGTCAAAGGTTTGTCAGTTAACTAGCGTGCGCAAATTATTTATAAAACGATGTCACAAATAATCCAATGTTAACAATCGGTTAAAGTTGACAGAGTGTTAGCTGACATGCAACTTGACATGCTTTTATACAACCGGGCCTAAGTATTTTATAGGTGCTTTAAAGGACGCGGTCCCAGTTTAAATCCGAGCGACCGAAGGGAGCGAGGTTTTAATGGGACCGAGTCCTTTCAACTATAAAACACCGTGTTATCTTCAATATTTTTTCTAACACTGAAGCTTATTTGATCCGAAATCGTCTGTTATTAATATTTTATCGGGAGATTTTTAGTGAGGCAAAATGTTTCTTGAGGCAGCCGTGGGTAGTAGTCATGGTAATAGTATCAACAAATTTTGAAAAAAAATTTTGTTCGTCAAAATGTGTGAACGCCTTTCAATCGGAATATTAGAAAAAACCAATGAATTACGCACCAAATTATTACCCGCAAAATCAAAAAACGCTTATGAGAAGGTGTACGTGGCTTTTAATCAGTGGACGTCAGAAAAAGGTGTAAAAGAAGTGACGGAAGACGTTATTCGGACTTTCCTTGATGCAAGCGTAAGTACCAGTTTTAGGCTGGGTTTATGCTCATCTATCATATATCACCTATACATTTAGCATTTTTAAATTTTTTAAACAGTAGTAGCGACGATTCCAATGTAAAGGTCAGCAACCAGATTAGATGTACAAAGCTGGATTCCGCCTTCGAAAGTAGCAGAGACAACCAACATCAACAACAAGAATTCACCCTTCAAGAGTAATGAAAATTTATATTTTAATAATTGTAGTTTTGTATTCAATAAATAAATGTTACGAAAAATGAAGCAGCGTACTTTAAATAGTATAAAGGACGTTACCATTGACGACGTACTTTATAAAGAACAGTGGATTTATAGATACCTTTGTGGTCGAGCTTAGATGAATCTTAGAAACGATTTAAAATGTCAGTGTTAGAAAATAGTATATTATTAGCCAAGGTTGCAGAGCCAAGCATTCTAGACCGAGCGCAAATTAGAACCCGAGACGCGCAGCGTCGAGGGCTCTGAAGCGCGAGGTCTAGAAGTGGCTTTGCAACCGTGGTTAATATACTATTTTTTTCACTAGTAGAAACCATAAGACAATAAACTGAAAAAATAAACGTTCAATTTTTTGACGCAACATGATTTTGTTTTGATTTCTAATCAAACTTAATCTAAATCTTCAACACAAAGAAAACCGTTTACACTTGTCGCTGAGTTAATCATTTTATGTTCTACCGTCTACCAACTACCATGCGTATACTCAAGTAATGTTTGTAGCACACATTTGTTCATTTTTTAAGAAATATTCACATCAAACATTGCGTACATAACCTCAATTTTTCTTTTTGAACCGGTGCGGTGGTCGCAAAAGTTGAATTTGCTACATCTAAATGAGTCGACATTTGCATGCTTGATGGCTGCTAGTGAAAAAAAACTATTTGTGTGAATTGTCAAAAATAATCAACAACTGGAAAGCAAGAAGCGAGCAAGGCAAGGCTGTAGCGATCGGCACTGCTGGCCGCTAGTGGGGGTATAGCTATTTATGCCATAAGATAGGAAAAGTGACATTTTTCCACATTCTAGAGATGCTAGACTAGCTAAAAAAACTCTTCATTATAAATTTAATTGAATGATAAAGTATCAAGTCCCTTTTAATGCAATAAATTTGTTGTCATGGAAAATACACACAAACAACGCAACATTTTGCAATTTTTCAACGATTGAAGTATTTTGGGTATTTCTTGAGGTAAAAATGTTGGAAGATGATGTTGCATCAGTATCTTTTGATGTTGAAGAGTCACCCACACTGGCACGCAATTCACTATTGCCCGAGAAATCAAAGAAAAAATATAAAAAGGCGTACAAGGAGTTTGAGAACTGGTGTTTGATATTGTTTTGTTTTATTTTTCCGCTCTAGTTAGGAAAAATTTCACTTTTCCAAACCCAAATGAATGTGGAAAACTAGAACAATTAACAACCGAATTTTACAAAATAAATTTCGACCGCGCAGCTCAACTCATTAATTATTATTATTAGTGATTGAAAAAAAGTCAAACACTAAGGTTGTACAGTTGTTTAAGATATCGAGAAGGGCACGTGTAGTCACCAGAGTTAATAACCGGTGTGAAGACAGCGACGATTTACCAGCAACCATTTTAGTTCGAACCGTAATTTCATTCAGGCGGCACATACCTAGAAATACTAATAGGGCAACCCTGTAATTCGCTTGTCAGTGTTTGTGCCACGATGAAATTCAGAGTGGGAGATATTTAGAATTTATAACGAATTATGGTTTGAAAAAAATTTAAAATTTTAAGGAATGAGGGTGTATTCAGACATACCATATAGGGCACCCCTATAATTCGCTTATCAATGCTTGTGCCACGATGAAATTCAGAGTAGGAGATCTTTAGAATTTATAACGAATTATGATTTGAAAAAAATTTCAAATTTTAGGGGATGATGGTGTGCACGGACATACCATATAGGACACCCCTGTAATTCGCTTATCAGTGTTTGTGGTACGATGAAATTCAGTGTGGGAGATCTTTAGAATTTATGATGAATTATGTTTTGAAAAAAAATTCAAATTTTAGGGGATGAGGGTGTGCACGAGCATACCATATAAGACACACCTGTAATTCGCTTATTAGTGTTTGTGCCACGATGAAATTCAGTGTGGGAGATCTTTAGAATTTATAACGAATTATGGTTCGAAAAAAATTTAAAATTTTAGTGGATGAGGGTGCGCACGGACGTACCATATAGAGCTTATTAGTGTTTGTACCACGGTGAAATTCATTATGGGAGATCTTTCGAATTTATGATGAATTATGGTTTGAGAAAAATTTTACATTTTAGGGGATGAGGGTGTGCACGGGCATACAATATAGGACACCCCGGTAATACCTTTATCAGTGTTCTTTTTCTATAATCCCACGATATAGACAGTAGTCACTCATATTGTCGGAAATTTTAATCATTTGTAGGAACAACCGTTCCCACAAAATCAGGTGTTCTACCTGAGCGCATTCATAATCATTGTAAAAACTAAATACTTCCTATCTTTCGTCTACCTGCCCTACGCTCCTACATACTTTCTCTTCTCGCTTCTAGAATTTTCTTTTAATGGACCTTTTGGTCTTTTATAAGTGACGACCACTCCAAAGGAGTTATTTTTGCAAAGTTGTTTATTGGTTACCAGTAGACAGCGGATTTTATGAAATTTGCAAATCCGTTATTTTTTGCATATAAGTCTTGATATTTAATATGTGAACGAATCATGCTAATTAAAAATGAATACAGTTATAAAAAAATTGCATATTTGCATATATTGGCCTTCTGCTGCATATTTCACGGAATGGGTGCATATTTTGCATTTTTATCAATTTTTGTGCTAAATTCTATCGGCATTTATCTACAAAGACGAAATTTTATGAATCATATTGCAAATATTGTCCTGAGCTTCAAATAACTAGGAAAGGTTTGGGTTTTATGGTAGATTGGAGACACCATTGGGTGTTAAGCCATCCTTCCAGGTAAATTCGCGCCTTAATTACTTTTGGAAATACCGTTCGTTCCCAATATTTTTGTTCGTTAAGTGTATTTATGGTATGTTTAGTGGTGGTCGAAGGAACGTTATACTATTATTTTTCATCGTGAGTTTGTATTGAAAGCATTTAAAGGGATACAGGTGTATCGATATGCCGAAGATAACTCAAATTAATTTATGGATTAAACCTTTTCCTGAACTTATTCTGTGGACGTAGTACGCAGTTTTTCTATATACAAATACCTATACTTTAGAATAGTACGTAACGGAAAAACTTTTTGTTAGAATATTTGGAAACATTTTTAAAAATAAATTGTTACCAAAATAATAATTAAATAGTGGATTACTACTATTTTTTAATTTGTTCTCTTTAGATTTATTTTTTGGTATAAGAATATTATCTTTAAAAACGTGATTTATGTGTTAGTGAGATGTAATTAAACACTTTGCAATGTGATTTATGTATTTTTTTGTAATAAAACGTAAGCTCGGGAAACTTGTTTTTGTAATTTATAAATAAATTTAGTTCGCTTATTAAGCTTTTTTTTAATTTTTGAAGCATATGCAACTGCATATCTCGGCATATATTAAGAAAGTTACTGCATATTTGCATAAATTTGGTGCATATCATACGATCATATTTCTCAAAATTTTGCTGCATATTTTCCGCTCTCTAGTTACCAGTCTATTTGGAGCATCGTAAAAGTATTTGTATTTCCACCAAATTGGGCTTAATTAACTTTAATATGACGATTTTTAGTGCTTTTTGCTACTATTAACAAATTTAAACCATGAAACTATAAAACTGGACAAAGACATCATTGTTCTGACTCATATATATCTTTATTGTAATTCCTCTAGGATAAATAATCACAGATTCTCCATTTCTTCCCTTTTATTTAGAAACGGTCACTATATAAAACTAATGAAACTGACAGATAATTTGCATAAAGTGACACATATGACCATACGTTGCACAAGGGAAACTATAAAGGACTTCACCTTTATGCCACGGATCTATAAGGGTCTTTTACGTTTTAGAGAATAGGAATATATTTATGTAAAGGACAATCCTTTTACCAAAGTGCCGTTATACTTTACAGAATTCGGCCCTTAATACACAAATAGCTATTTACACATATATACTTATAACATCTGTTATATATTTTTATTCAATGTGTAATATTATGATGAGGCCAATGATCAACATTAAATTTAAAAAATGGAGTAGTCATTACATGCAGGGCCGGTTGCATAAGCGCAAATCAAATTTAATCTCTGATTAACTCCATAGTAACGATTGTTATTATCACAGTTACAATTGTTCTTAGTCAGAGATTAAATTTTAAAAAATTAATAAAACACTAATCAAATTTAATCTTTGATTAAGAACAATGGTAACTATGTTAGTAACAATGGTTACTATGGAGTTAATGATATACTAAATTTGATTTGCGCTTATGCAACCGGTCCGGAATGTTTAAATGAGGATGATTAAGTAATAAGTTTGTTGTACATATATTTTTTATTATTTTTTATAATTTCTCTTAAATTTGAATTTTTTTCTTGATTGCGGGTTAGATTCTTGCATGTATATACTTTCAAAAGTACCGCCAAATATGTTAGCATAATTCGGATTGGTTCCAA